GATAATAATAATAAATAATAATAATAATAATAATAATAATCGTCCCCATGTGAACGTCTATAACCGATAGCGGTGGCACAAAGAGACGCAGTTCTCGAATGAGTTACGCACAAAGAAAATATTAAACCGTAGTTGCTTTTTATTATTATGCATAATAATTCGACACGACTAACTGCCGAACCATAAATGTTGTATGTTCATAGAAATATAAATGTATAGATATGGATTCAATAATTCAAAAATAAAACACTTTCACAAATTTTATCATCGTAGTTTTATTTTTATTCCTTCGTTAACTTACAATTAGGTACCATGTTCGATGTACGTGAAATATGTGGTAATAAAGCCCATAAATACAATTGCAAACGCATATAAATTTTATATTCAACTCCTAATAAGTAATTACCAAGCAAAATATAATTATATAATATATAAACAGTAAAAATATTAAAACATTTATCAATAGCTGGGTAATATTGACACACCATACAGTACTCTGTATAACTCTATTACTTGGTTGTTGAGATGATACCTATACGTCCTATTAGTATATTTTTATCCAGTTATAAATTTGTTTATATTTTATATACCTAATAATTTTATAATTAAATATGCTTAATTATTGAATTATTTTATGTAATTTATTGTATTGACTGACGGGTGACAACTTAACTATTTTCAGAGTACAGACTCGTGAATTACAAAATCACAATTATGTTGTATTATATACAATTTATTATTAATATTATTATTATTATGATCAAACCATTAAGGTGCATTGATTTTTGATACCCATTATTTATACAATAATTTTTTTTATTATTATTATAGTACTTTTAAAATTGATAATTGGCTGACCTACTGTGCTTATTATTATGATAAATAATGTTTTCATCGCAGTAATATGTAATGATAATATAAATATTTTGTCATAATAATATATAGAAATAAATGAATGTGTGTATCTAATATACTAGTTACTAATGTAGTACCTATATAACTTTTACCGTAACATATATAACGCACTGCTTCTTGTATCAACGTTTTATTTTAGTACCATTTAAAAATAGGCTGAATTAAGACATATAATATCTTATAGTGGTTTGAAAAGTTTAGGTAGAATAGGTTCATAGTAAATTTTGAATATGAGTAGAGATTTTAGAATAAGACTTTTTTGTTGAATCCGAATGCAATATAAATATAAACATTTATAGACTTTTACTAACCTAGATATAGGTATAATTTGTTATAATATTCTCATATATTTATATGTGGTCAAATTGGATATCTGAGTGTCGTATTTTTCGGATTTTTTAACACACTCAAAATATATATACATGATGAATGTATAGGAGGGGGGATAAAAACAATTCTTTAAATACCTACACCTCCCGGCTTATCGTGCCATATGCATCAGTGTTGGGGAAGTTACCTATTTTGGGTAATTAAATTACATTACTAATTACTTACCTATCAAAATTGTAACTAAATTATTTTTAAGTTACTTTTTTTTCATTTTGTCAAGTTACATTACTTTTGAGTTTTAAAAGTAACTCAATTACAACATAAGTTACTATTTTTTTTAAATATCACTGGAGGAGCTTAATAGCTATTTTGTCTATATGAAAATACAGAAACGAAATAATGTCAATCAACAATATGAAATTATTAACAATTAATACTAATTTTGCTACACATTAAATATTAATCTTTATTTTTCAAATTTATTTTAAACAACAATGCGTTTTCAAAATTACAGTCACTAATTTTAAATCACTTTATAGTGCATATATCTCCTGCTATGCTAAACAAACGTTCAACAGAAGCACTTGAGGGTAAAGCAATATTATACTTCAAAAAAATTAATCTCATTATTGGCATGTTTTTTAAATAAGTTAAATCACCATTAAAAATAGTAAATAAAAAACTTTCAAAGTTTCAAGTTCAGCATTAGAATGCTCTTGTTAAAGTAACGAATAATTTAGTTACAGTAACTTGTAATTTAAATGAAGTTAATCCCCAACACTGCATATGTTGTACCTACCTACCATAATATAATATCAATGGTACTCAAAAAGTATAAATATTGTCTATTGAGGTGAAACTTTAATGGATAATAATAATAAGGGACACCTCTTATTTTTCGCAAGTGTATACAGGGCGTAACAGAAAGATATTACAAATTAAACACAATATTATATAAATCAATAATATACATATGTAATATCTGTTGCACACTGTGAGGTCGGCCAAACTGTCGATATTCGGATAATTTCAAAGTTGATTCCCCTTTATTAGAATTTATTATTATACAGTTAGTAGACACAGTTGTATAGGTACACATTTTGTATTTATTCGTTTGTGTGAGATGTCACATGTTTTCTCACATTGAAAGTTTTTAAAAGCTGAATACCGAGTTACACTTTCCGATGATTAATTAGAGCAGAATCTTGGTTTAGCAACTATTGACCATTCCCGGATGGTTAATTATAATCAACTAACCAACGATACGGAATGACTAGTTTTTATGCCAACAATATAATACTGATTTATTTTAAAATGATTTTGAGACTTGATGTAAAACACTAATTTTTAGAATACTTTACTCTTAATTTTACTATTTATACCTAATATAATTAGATATTGTTATTATTATTGATATTAACTTAAAAATACTATTCCAAGTAGAAATAGACTATCAAAAAAAAAAAAATATATATATATATTTATATGTTCAGTCTTAGATCTTGTTTCTTCTCAAACAGTGTATAAAGATCCTCGGTCTACAAACATGGTCAACAATTTTGTATTATTTTTCTTTTTAATAATGAAGATAATAAAACTATTGATTTTGTTACATTTTTTAAAGAAAAATTCAAAATAGCCGTAAGTTTTTTTTATACTTGTATCATATTTCTTTTKTCACTAGTCAAGTCTTTCTATTATATTCTTTAATTCGTTATTATAATTATACATTATCGTTAGCGTCATATTTTCAATAATTCAGAGTATAATAGAATACATGTAATTTCGTATAATAATATACAACGGGTGGCGTATAATATGTTTAATAAGCATCGTATACTATTACGCACTGCAMTTATCTCATTCCCCTCCCCCTGTTAAAACGAGTTTTTAAAATGAAAAGTGGGTAATAAAAAATAATAGTTATTATTATAGGAACAAGCCATGCTTCAATAATATGT